GCCGCGGGCGGGCAGGTCCTTCCCCCCCCTCCCGGTGCGGCGGCAGTGGCGGGTCAGCGGCGGCCTGTGGTGGCCTTCGGAAACCGGCGGCGGCTCCAGGGCGAGCAGAGGAAGATGCGCATTGGAGGAAGCTTAATATAGAGGCTTTCCCTGCGAAAAATAAAGAATTTGGATATTTTCCGTGTTTACAGTAAATAAAAAAGGGGAGAAATGGGCTAATTTGGCCTAAATATTGAAGCCAGGGGTGCAGGGGGAGCGCAGTTGAGGCTGGAAGGAGGTATAAAATGGGATGGAGGTCGGGTTGCAGCCTGGAGAGAAGGGAAGGGAAGGGAAGATGAAGGGAAGATGAAGGGAAGAAGAAGGGAAGGGAAGAAGGGATCGGGGCTGGGAGGGAGCAGGGAAAATGGCAGGAGGATGCTTGGCTGCCTGGGGAGACAGGAGCTCTAGGGTGAGAGAAAAAGGGGCCTCCTGGAATAACGTGTTCCTGTTCCTGATGCTGTGGGAGAACTGCAAATAGTATTTTGAATAATGGAGCACTAAGAGACGTGCCCAGTCATGGAGGAGGAAAATGGAAGCTCCTGAAGAAGACAATAAAACACAGTGAGCTGAGGCAGTGGGAGTGTAGACAGCATTGACAGGAAAGAATTTATGAAGTCTTGATGAAGTTGAAATAATGCAGTTTGGGATTAAAAGTCAGTTAAATACTCTCAGCTGTATACTTGCAAACCCATACTTTTCCAAAGGGTACCACAAACCCAAGCCTGGCAAGACAGGAGCACCACCGAAACCTGTCATTGTACAGATGGTTCCGTGCACAAACACTGGCCTGGTCAGACATTCACTGCTTCTTTGCATTTATTTTTTTCTGTGCTTAATAACTGCACCTAGAATCGACTTACCATGTGCAGCGCATACCTGCACATGCATGTCTAAGCATCATTGCACGTGATTATCAAAATTCATGTCATTTCAAAATACATAGAAATATTTTTTTTTTTAATTTGTTTAACCTTTAGGCTTAATTTACGGAAAACTTATCTGAAAAAAAATAAAGTTTATATTTAATAACTGAGCTAGCACTTGCTGTGGGCTGTGGGGAAGCGTCCAGTAGCAGCAGATCAGAGAAAACCACAACTTCTGAAAGCAGCAAGGCTTTCGTCTGTCTGGGCTCCACCGCAGAGAATGGGGCACGTCAGAGGCGAAGGAGAGTCCCGCTGCTGGGGCTTTTGCATTTCCTCAGGCTTCACTGTCTTAGTGCAAAGTCCTGTTTTTAAAAAGGGTCTCTCAGGGAGTTAGGAGCAATTAAATTAAGAAGATTGAACTATTAGAGAGAGACTTTGAATTCAGCTTTAATTAATCGGAAGAGGAGAAAATGATTGGTCTGTTCCAGGCAGTTTCTGTGGTGGTGTGTCACTTTTTGCATCAGCTGGAACGTTTACTTCCGGAGCTGTTGCTTTATGTATAGATATTGGTATGTTCAAACACCCTCTCGTTCTGAGTGAAGAATCCTGAATATTTTGATTTTTTCCTTGCGTGTAGGAAATAGACTATAAAATGACTAGATGTTCCGCAGACATAAAAGGACGACTGATTACCCTGTTTCTGTTATGCCAATTTGGTGAAGCTTGAAATGAAATCAAATGGTAGCTATCATAACAAGAAAATCTGCTTCTATTGAATAACTCAATAAAAGTAGCAACTGGTGTGTGATAAAAGAACAGTATAGCTTATATAATTTAGCATAATGAAAAATATATTGTTTTGCACCAGAAATATAATTAATATCAGAACACAGATTATTTTCTTTGTTTGCACCTGGTTGCTTTGTCGTCTCTGCCATTTAACTGCTGTCCACAGGCACTTTGTGGTATTACATCATTTTACTGTTGTTTGAGCCAACACAGGCAGGACGCAGGAGCAACCACAAAACCATGGACGAAAGGCAAAGAATGAATTTAACCTCGATACCTCGCAGACTGGGGGATCTCTGAAGCAGTACCCAGACAGAGGCACCGCAGAGCAAGAGAGCCCTTGTTGGCGAGAGAGCGAGGGCTCAGAGTTGCTGTTCTCACCTGTATTTCAAGGATTCAAGCACACGTAGTTCTCCACTGTGCTTTGAACTTCTTCAGCAGCAGGGCAGGAATCTCAGGCATGTTTGATAAGGTGCCCCTGAGTCCATCCCAGGCCCATGTTATCTAAGTGCAGATGTTCTGCTTGTCTAGCACGTAAGACTAAGCACCAATTAGTGTGATATGTGTGTTCTCCGGCACCCCATGTGCGAGTCACTTGAGCTTGTTTGCAGTCCTCCTCGCTGAGCTTCAGTTATTTTCCCACAACTGTGATCTTAGCAGGTGCACTTTTGATTCAAATGCTTACTTCTTGCTTGCTGTATCAGTCAAGATAAATGGGAGGACAGTTCCTCCCTTAGACCTTTGGAAAAATAATGTACAAGCTAAACCTGCTTTCAGTTAAGTCAGTGCCAAACTGCCTATAGGAGTAGCTTAATAGGAAGATGAAGTTTTATGAATTCACAGACCATGAACTGGTGGTTTATTCTCTGTGTCGCAGAACACCACGGGAGGGACCGATGTGCCTGTGGTGTGTGTACATCACAACTCACCCTAGTGACAATGTGGGAAGAGGCACCCAAAGGGTTTCTGTGGTGTCCCTGGGGAGACCAAAGGATCCAATTCCCCTGGCAGGGAGTCTGTACGGGCACCTTGCATTCATGTGCAGGATGATGTTTGCCCAGCAAAGCCCACATGCTCCAGCCCTCTGAACGTGTTAAAAGGTTGGTAAAAACAATATACTCTTGCCTTAGCACAGTCATAGTCTCCTCTTGCCCAGCCAACTGACAGAAGCTTGGTTTTGGCACTATTCTCCCTAAATAGAGAATTTTTGGGCAGTTCCCAAAGCATATCTCTTGTTTATAGCTCTGGAAAGAGCAAAAATGAAACTCTATTCCCCTTTTTGTTTAACAAATCCTGCAGCTTTCCTTAGAAAAAAAGATTAGTGATTGGGGTCAGATGTTTTCCGATTCCTCTAAAATTCCATGAATAGCTCTTATATTCAGTACTTTCAGGTTTCAACCTCTACAAATACCCACTACATCTTAGTTATCATGAGTAATTTCATTGTTGATTGTGGCAGTCTTAAAGAATGGTAGGATTTATGTGATAGTTGGACTTCAGTAACATAAAATCAAATTCATATGATCCGCTGTTCTCCTTTAATGGTAGAAGCATGGATGATTGCTACCACAATGCAGAGAAAATGCCTCACTCTCTTGCTTACCAGAGAGAAATGATTGTGCATTTGGCATGATTTTGGGAGCCACTGGTGGATGGCAAGCTGATCCTGTTTCTCTAAGACATTCCTTATGTTTATTGCTGGATGTGAAAATGAGGACTGTGATGTTTCTGTACAGCATGACATTTTTACTGCATGTTATACTTAGTCTGATGTCAGTAGTTTTAAGAAGGTATTGACATGTAGTAATAACAAATGTGCAAAACTGATGATTTCTTTTTAAAGCTTTGGTTCACTGAGGAATATAAATCCATGCCTAATTTCAAATATATAGGCTGTTCTGTGACTTTCATTCACATCATACTCTTGATGTCCAGCTTATGCTTAATCCTTTGTGAACCTTTAGCAGTATCTTTACCTATATCTGTAATCAAACTTTTCTTAACCCTGGGACTTGCAAAAATTGATGGATGTGTGTGGTCAGAAGCAAATTGTCCAGTGTTTAATAAAGCACTGACTGACTTAACGTTTCTGATATCTGGTGCAGAAAAGTACAGCTTGTGGTAAAAACAAGAAAGAGGTAATACCTAGGACATGCAGTAAT